GCGGTGATAGATATGGGGGTACAGCAAGGAGGGTAATTAGGGTATAGTACAATTTCAGAATGTTCGGGTAGCATCTCGTCCGTGAGTAACTAATTACCAGTCTTTCGTTTGAAGTTTTGTATAATAAGGACATGAAGATAGAAAGCAAGAAGGCACAGGTGCGCATCTCGTCCCTGTGTGTGTCACATATGCCAGAGGCACACGTCCCTGAGTAACTACCAGTCTTTCATTTACAGTTTTGTATAAGAAGGACATGAAGATGGAAAGCGAGAGGGTGCAGGTACGCATCTCGTCCTTGAGTAGCTACCAGTCTTTCGTTCCTAGCTTTGTATAATAAGGACATGAAGATAGGGGACGAGAAGGCACAGGTGCGCATCTCGTCCTTGCTTTGCGACAGAATAACAGAGGCACACTTCACGTGACGCATTTTCGCGTGAGTCGCATGATGACGTGTAGAGTAGAGCCTCTCACGGTCTTAGGAGAATTGCATCAAAGTCAAACAGATTGAGGCATCTCAGCAGTTTGGGACTCTGGGAGCTCCAAAACCTTGATAGGCCCCAATCTTTTTGAGGTTCAAGAAACTCAAAAAATAGAGACATCTCGACACTTTGGGACGCTGGGAGCTCCAAAACCTTGAGAGGCCTCAATCTTGTTGGGATTTAAATGCAAAAACGCTGGGAGGCCCCAAAGGATTCAAATGACTCAATGTGTTGGCGGTCTAGGGAGAATAGCCTTACAATCAAACAGATTGAGGCCTCTGAGCATTTTGAGACTCTGGGGGCTTCCAAACCTCGAGAGGCCCCAATCTTTTCGAGGTTCAAGACTCAAAAAGATTGAGGCATTTCAGCACTTTGGAATTCTAAAGGCTGCAAAGCGCATTGAGAGGCCTCAATTTCTTTCAGGTCCAGGATTCCAAAACATTGGGGCCTCTCAGTGTTCTGCAGCTCCCTGACTCCCAAAGTCCTCAATCTTTTTGATTTGGGGTACAGTCTCCCAAGACCTCCAAAAGATTGAGAGTCTTTTGAGTCTTTTGGTGCCTCTCATCGTTTTTGCTTCAAAATCACAACAGCCTCTCAGGACTTTGAACCTCTGGGAGGCCTAAGAAGTTAGCATTTTCGGGACGCCGCTCCATTCCGCTACCCCCGGCCCCGACCCACCCTTGCGTCTCAAAAGAAGAAAAATGGTCGGTCAATGGGGGAATGGGGGGGGGGTACCATATATATATATGTATATTATATATATATATTATATTATATTATATGTATTATATTATATTATATTATATTATATTATATTATATATTCATTTATTTGTTTATTTATTTACTTAATTTATTTATTCATTCTTTCATTTCTTTCGTTCATTTATTCATTATCTGTCTATTTATTTATCTATATGACATAAGAATATCTTCTTGCCAAAAGAAACGAAGTGAAAATAAGCAACGCCTGTCATTTGTTCGTTGCCGACAAACGAGCCAACATGGAAACAAAGGACGCGCTAGTCGTGAAAATATCTTAGTTTCCTCTTGTATGATCCCAATTATCTCTTGACGCCGAACAAACGTGAAATGAGTTCTTTTGACCACAGGGGCCTTTTTACAGTGCGTTTGGTCCCCTAGGGCTGCGACATGTTGGCCCGCAACGGTTTTCACTGTCGTATGCAGCCATCGCCAGTCAAGCCTTCAAATCTCATCTTCGCTGCTCATTGCGTCTGACTCAGATGAATCCGCCGTGGTGACTGGGTTCAGACATGCGTTTGCTTACTTGGTGTATCATACTCGCGCTGTTGCAACATCTGAGTCCGTGCTGGCAGGTACACACTCCCCACACGGTCACTTCTATCATTCCTTATTCCGATGTTCATCAACAATTCCGAAGGTCACAGCAGAGAGTGAACACCGACACACGAAAATCTACCACACATGTCAGAAATTGGTTGTTGTAAGATCTCCACATTGCCGGGCAGCGTCTTCGAAAAGCGTGCGCTGGGATTCGATCTGCCAAGTACACAGCATGGAGGGAGCAGAGGAGGGCGGAGACTGATCGAACCTCAAAGTGATAGCAGGAGGTCTTGTAGCCATCATCGTGCTCGAAGGGGCCCACCCTGAGCTCCAACTGAGCTCATATTGAGGCCTCTGGCTTTCAATTTGTAACTCGACTCTGAGGCCCGGCAGACAGCCGGCAAAAGGGTCTGCAGTTTGCTCCTCCGAGGAGAGATCGGACCTCTGAGGTGTGGACATGCGTCGGATGCAGAAATCACGGAACAGCCATCAAGGCAAAATAGGGCAATGTGGGGAATAACGGCATCTTTCACCTTTCCTGCTGTCGGCCGGCTCATCAGAGTCATGCACCTGGCGGTGATCCGATCCCTCCTGTCGAGTTCACCTTTGCCACATCGAGGGAGTCGACTGTACAAGTCTGGGCCAACTCTACAGAACACCTAAAAAAAAAACGAAAATCAACAACTGCCAACACACACCTGCACAAAACTGCAGGAG